GTATCGGCAGCTACTGCCGTGTTTTGGACTCTTCAGCAGCCTCTGTGGGGAAGCTGTGACATCACGTCTACACCAATTGTGTAGTATGGAAGTGAAACGTGGGCATTGAGGAAGGCTGAAGGGCACCAGATTGACATTTTTGATTCTCGTAGTCTTCATCAGCTGCTCCATAATAAGCGACAAGACAACGTCAGGAATTGAACAATCACCTCCATCAGCGCTGGTTCAGTTTCAGCAACTTTCTTGGTAAGGACATATCATTAGAATGGAAGACCAACAAATGACTGTCGATCACATGGGCATCAAAAGCTTTGGTGGCATGACAACATTGTTAGTGATTAACATAGACTGAATATACAACCGGACCCCTACCTTAAGCACTTTCCTAGAGATCGATCAAGTGCTTGATTTGCAATGATGAAGATGATGATGGGGTAAACGAATTCCAACAAATTGGAAAGAGTCTCTCAAGAGAAATTGTGAAAGCCCATTTAATGGGACATTTAAAGATTGGACAACACTATAGGGAACAATCCTGCATTGGCTGAGAGGGATGGGCTTGTTGACCTAACAGGTCTTTTCCAACCCCAGCTTCTACTTCATATAGCATTTGCAAAGGACTGGATGGAAAAGTCAAACTTTGAGACCTAGAGATTTTCAGAAGGCCAGAGGGCAATGGAGTACAGCTATATTTACAGTCCTGCACAGAACATACAGCTTTATGAGAAGGCAGCATGGCATATTGGATTGAGGTGAGGACCAGAAACTTGGAAGACCTGAATTCTAATCCTGGCTCTACCACTCTGGACACACATCCTTAGGCCAATCACTCAGTCCTTCTGCTTCAGTTTGGCCCTATGCAAAATGAGAGCAGTAATAACATATCTATTTCACAAGGAGAATGGGCGAACGATTAACATAAGTAGCTAATGGGAGGATGAATCAGTTAATGTAAGCAGCCTGGTGAATGAGCCAGCACTACCAGACAACAACAAAACAGTCTCCAAATCAATTTGTTTCAAAGGGAAAAGCTACTGTCTTTCTTCTTCTAAGGTGCTGGCTCCGGCAGCTAAAGTTTCATAAAGGAGCTAGTTGTGGAGAGAAAAAAAATTGTTTATTTAAAAATATGTGTTTTGTTGTTTATGAAAGTTTTGCTCCAGGGCATGGATTATTTGGCAATAAATCCTTTTGTCTTCTATCCTAAGTAACAAACAATATTATTCTTATGAAAGAAAAATGTCAACATTACAGAGTAGAGTATCTCACACACACAGTATACAGACAACAATTCGTCTTGTTCTAAATGCCTACTACAGCCCAAAAGTTCAGCTAGAAGCACAGCCAAAGCCCTGGTTTGTCTCTGTCAAACACAAACCACAGCTACCCAAGAGCTCTTGCTTGGGATGAAGCTTTGTCATCACGCCCCACTTCTGAAACGTTAAGAGCAATGATACAATAGCAATAGGTCAGAACCAGCTGCTAAACTTTAATGCCTTCACTGCATAATTCTCAAATATTGGAACCAAATGCTGGTAATGACACAGAAAGCATGGAGGTAAACATGGCATTCTCTGCTCAGCCAGTCAATTCCTTGGGCTTGCTCTCACTTGCACAGAAGTGACAAGTCTATCCTAATTTTCTTTCAGTACAAGCATTAGCTTGGGTTTTACACACAACTCCAAGTGTCACATAAGACGAGATATGTTGCAACATATGATGAAGTTCCTTAGTTTATGGAAGGTAATATCCCACCTAAACCCGGTTATTCCATGCTAGAATTTCTTTCTGTAATGGCAGAGACAAAGAATGTGATAAGGAATTAGAATGTGCCACAATTTATACAGTGATTACAAAATGACAGTGGGTAGAATAGTTTAGCAGGGTACGTCTACACTGCACGCTCCTTACGGTGGCATGTAGAGTACCTAAGCTGCATGCCCCCCAACACAGTTATAAATAGCTGTGTAGATGGTGAGGCACTGCTTAGGCAAGAAGGGTAAAGACAGGCTTGAATCCTGTGGGTGCGTACCCTACACGGGTCTCTAAATACCCAAGTAGTGCCTCCCTTGTCTACATAACTATTTTTAGCAGTGCAGCATTCTGCTGCCTCTCCACTGCCGGAGCCTTTCCCTTCCATGGGGAAAGTCTCTGGCATTGGGGAGGCAGCAGGGAAAAGCTCCAGCAGCTCCCTGCCACAGTGAAAGGCTCCGGCAGAGAGAGAGGCAGCAGAGAAAGGCTCCGGAAGCTCCCCCTGCTGCCAGAGCCTTTCCCTGATGCGTCCCCCAACCAGAGCCTTTCGCTGATGTGTGTAGCTACACACTGCAGTGTGGATGCAGCTTGCTTTTCACTGTGGCATGTAGTTACACATATCCTACACATCACCTCCAGTAGTATGCAGTGTAGACGTAACCACAGGTTCACAGATTTCAAGGCCAGAAGAGACCACTGTGATAATCTAGTCTGATCTCCTGTACAAAACAGGCCAGAAAACTTACCCAAAATTACTCCTAGAGCAGATCTTTAAGAAAAAAAAACAGCTGATCTTGATTTAAAAATGGCCAGTGATGGAGAAATTGTTCCAATGGTTAGTTACCTTCAGTATTAAAAACTGATGTCTTGTTTCTAGTCTGAATTTGGCTAGCTTCAGCTTCCACGCACTGGATCATGTTATACCTTTGCCTGATAGACTGAAGCCCATTATCAAATATTTATTCCTCATGTAGGTACTTATTGACTGTGATCAAATCGCTTCTTAATCTTCTCTTTGTTAAGGTAAGCAGATTTAGTTCCTTGAATCTCTCACTATAAGGCACAGCTTCCAATGCTTTATAATCATTCTTATGGCTCTTCTCTGAACACTCTCCAATTTTTGACATCAGAACTGGAGAAGGTATTCCAGGAGCTATTGTATCAGTGCCAAATACAGAGGTAAAATAACCCCTCTACTCCTACTTGAGATTCCCTTGTTTATGCATCCCAGGATCGCATTAGCCCTTTTGGGCACAGTGTCAAACGGGGAGCTCATGTTCCCACCACAACCCCCACATCTTTGTCAGAGTCACTGCTTCCCAGGATAGAGTACTCCAACCTGTAAAGTATGGCCTACATTCTTTGTTCCTAGATGAATATATTTACGTTTAGCTGTATTAAAATGCATATTGCTTACCTGTGCCCAGCTTACCAAGCAATCCAAATCACTCTCTATCAGTGACTTGTCCTCTTTGTTATTTAACACTCCCTCAATTTTTGTGTTATCTGTAAACTTTATCAGTGATGATTTTATATTTTCTTCCAGGTCATTGATAAAATGTTAAATAGCATAGGGTCAAGAACTAATTCCTGAGGGCCCCACTAGAAGCACACCCACTTGCTGATGATTCTCTGTTTACAATTACATTTTGAGACCTATCAGTTAACCAGATTTTAATCTATTTAATGTGTGCCATGCTAATTTTATTTCATTCTAGTTTTTAATCAAAATGTTGTTCAATATCAAGTCAACCACCTTACCAAAGTCCAAGTAAATCATATCAACACTGTTACCTTTATCAACCAATTTTAGAATCTCATCAAAAACAGATATCAAGTTTGTTTGACACGAACTATTTTCTATAAACCCATGTTGATTGGCATTAATTATATTATCCTCCTTTAATTCTTTATTAATCAAGTCCTGTATCAGCTTCTTTATTATCTTGCCTGGAATTGATGTCCGATAGACAAGCCTAAATTACCCAGGTCATCTCATTTACCTTTTTAAATAGTCCTAAACTACATGGAATTCAGGGTAATTTAAAACATCTTACATTTCTATAACACCTTTCATCCCAAAGTGCTTCATAGGCGACACACATAGACAATGACCTGCAGCCACCCAATAAATGAAGGGCAGCAGCCCACCTGAGCACAGCATACTGCACAGAATAGGAAGAGGGGAAATTCTGGGTAAGACAGGAGGGCAAATCCCTACTTCTGTATCACAACATTGCCATGGTATCCAGCCAGATCAGACAGGCCTTCAGTTTGTAAGGTCTCATCAGAAAGAGCCTCGCATTACCAGTACAAACAGCATTTGCAAGATGATTCATGGACATGGAACATTTCAACAATAAGGTGATGGCTCTAGACCCGTGTGAATATACCCGGGAACCTGCATGGACAGAACCTTGGCCATCCAATCGAAGCTTTCTGTTCACACGGTCTTTATAGAAGACGTTTTAGAAACGCAGAGTTGGCAGCTACCTGGACAATCGCTGCAGAAGCTGTGTTTCATTCAAAATAAGCTCTCCGCTGCTGTACAGTTAGTACTACACTGCACTCTACACAACACTCAAGGGAAAGACAGCAGTCCTTTGGGATTCATTCCATTATCAGCCTTTTATCCAGCTCCCTCAAAAACACGTAAGTATCAGGATCAAAGCTTTCAAGTCCATTCTCTCTACATTTGTTTGAGCCAATAACAGGACTGTTGGGCATAAAGCCAATTATAATATGACATAGCAACAATTCCTCCAGTGCTACTGAGCTTTTGCTGACCAGTCAAGAGGAAAATTACTGGGGCCATCAGGGAAACAGCAGGACCCTCTTGATCAAGGCCACCCCGGCCAATGTCTTTTTGGTTTCACAGAACGGTCATAAGAAGTGGCATCTTCTGAGAGCTCAGAGAGGAAATCCAAGGAAAAGACATTAAGATGGCATTTGAGACATATGCCCTCAGCTTAAAGCTGCAGCTCACATACCCTCTACTGCTGACCTTCAGTGACATTTGGATGAAGCAAATACTTCAGCATATGATGGGAAGTAAACCGAGTCACTTAACCCAAAGGTAACTTTGGGGACTTGAGGGTTAGAGAGAGCTTTCGATAAGAAGGTGGATGGAAAACACCCAGTGAGAGGAGACAACAGAGAAAAATCTGCAGATTGCAATACACACATTTCCTTGAAATGACAGCTGCTCACAGCACAAGCCAATGAAAAATAAAACGCATGTGTCTTCTTACCAGGTAACCTTCAGTCTTCTTCTGACACCACTTCAGCAGTGCATTCCTCTTGGAACCACCATACTCTCGGGCCAGGGCTGCTAATGGGTCCTTTCTCTCCACGCTAATTGGGGGAGGAGAAGGAAGTAAATTTGATTTAACCAGCTCCTCTCTTTCACTTTTGACATTACATGCACATGATAAACCAGGGTAGCACAATACATTCTCAGTGGGAGAATGCAAACAACTTATATGGAATATCTTTTCAGGCAGCTGTAATATGTGTTTAGCTCTGAGACACAAATTAGTTTGGGATCACTGGATACAAATGGAAACAAAGCCTATGATAAAAATGTATTTGGGAAGCACTCAGTAAAACATATCTAAAGGAATGCATATCTTTGATCTACTTTTTCTACAGCTGCAATCATCATCCTTCACTCCCTTTTCACCTCCCTCTTCAGACATCAAAAGGCAAATTTTCAATAAACCTCTATCAATGCACCTCTAAAACTGGGGCTTTAGCGTAAACCATGGATAGAAGTTACCTAATTATTCTGGAGCAGCAAGCTCATTCCCAACTAGGGTGACCAGACAGCAAATGTGAAAAATCGGGACAGGGAGGTGGGGGGGTAATATGAGCCTATATAAGAAAACGACCCAAAAACCGGAACTGTCCCTACAAAATCAGGTTTCAGAGTAGCAGCCAAGTTAGTCTGTATTCGCAAAAAGAAAAGGAGGACTTGTGGCACCTTAGAGACTAACACATTTATTTGAGCATAAGCTTTCGTGAGCTACAGCTCACTTCATCGGATGCATTCAGTGGACAAAAATGGGGACATCTGGTCACGCTATTCCCAACTGGAGAATACCACTGCAGAATAAAAGTCTTAATTAAAATGGGAAAATCTGCAGGCATTTTTCTGCACTGGTGCTAGCTACCGTGGAAACTGTACTACCGACAAGACAAAGGCACAGAGCAGGGTCAAAACACCTGCACTTGTCTGCCCTAAAAGCTTCCACTATTAATAGCACTTGCAGAAAAATGTATGCATTTTTCCAGTGCAGATGTACAATATGGGCCAGAATTAATACTTTGGTTTCCTCTCATATCTCAAACTCTCTCGTTAGATTTTATTTATAGCTACAACCAAAGCTGCACCACAACAATAGTGCCTGACCACTGACTGGTGCTTGTACCAATACTGGTATATAACGGTGAGTGCCCCTGGGGACTCCTGTTCCTTAACAATGAACATCACTGCTAGTCCTCAGTTTGTCATCCCTACCCACTTCCTGTATGGGAGCTCCACAGAGACTGGGAACCACTGAATTAAACAGCCATCAGTTTGCCAACTAAAATGGTGGCTCAGGCCAGTGGATTGCATTTTTCACTGAGTTGGTACCTGAGTTTGCTGGGGGGTCTCAGGCTGCTTGGGCTGGAGGTCAGCATCCTGCTGCTGAAGGCCATTGAGGGGGGTTTGCTCAGAGACTCCAGGGAAGGGCTCTTGCGGAGGTAATGGTCTGGTTTCAGGTCCTCACTCCTCCCTTTTAGAAGGTCTGTGGGAACAGAAAAAGCCATCAGTCTCTGGGCCTGAGGAATCTGATTAATCACTGCCCTACCAAGCAGCACACAACAATATGTAGCTTGTTGCTTTGATTCTAAACAAACATACTCCGTTGTTCATTAAACGGACATGGGGTTAGGAAACCTTGAACAGACTAGAGGTGACTGTAACAAGCAAGGACTTTGATGATTTCAACAGTACACGCTGCTTGGCTTCCTGTGATTGATAGTCCCGCTGGGGAGCGGGGGCCTCAGGTGAATGAAGGGAAATACCAAAATCTACCATCTTAAAGGTTCAAAAGTTGATCCCTAGACATGGTCACTAGACGACTGAAGGGACCAGCTCACTGTCAGACTCTTTTTGTTAACCTACCATTAACAGGACTGGAAATGAGACAAGCCTTTCGCCTCTAGGCTGCTGGTTCAAATCCAGCCCAGGGTGGCAGCAACACCCACTAGTAACTACCCAATGGCTGGCATCCTGCCTGAAATGAATTTGGCAAGTTACTTGCAGACAAGTGTCCATATCACAAAGGCTAACATCACATCACAGCAGAGAGCACTAATGCAACTCCATGGTGACAGTCTCTGCAGAGAGGCAAACGCTTAAATGGGGCACAAAGACTGACTCCTCTCTCTCTAGACATCAAGCATGAGGCACGCTGTACTGGGGAGCAGTACAGGGAAAGCTTACACAATGGCTGCTGTACTGTACCTCTTCTGTGTACAAAGTGAGACTAACTTACCAGCACTAAATTCACAGAGAGCTTAAATCTAGCTTTAGAGATGGATGATCTGGGTTCAGCATAACTGCTTTCCCTGTCTCTTGTCCCTTCTACCCATATTTATTAATAAATTAACAACTGTACAGTGTCCACTCATTCTCCCCTCAACTTCAGACTAACTGAAACCAATTCCCCAGGCCCACTGGGTGCCCCAAGAGGCAGAAACAAGACCCCATTTGTTGCGCTGCATTGTACTTCTGGAATTTCCACCTCCTGAGGATGGAACTTCCAGAAACAGAATCACAGCCAGTCAGGTATTCCAATGCCCCCAAGTCATTGGTCAAAGGACAGCTTGCAAGGGGGGAGGAGGGGTTTCAGGTGCTGGGTCAGTAGGGGGCAGCCTATCAGTTGGGGTTGTAGAGATTCAGAGGGAAAGACTTTACATTTTCTCATTGAAAATGGGAAATAATGATGCAAGTCATTAATCCTTGCTCTGCGGAGGTCTTGAAACTCCTATTACTCTATCAAAGCTCATTAGCAAAGCTAGACAAACAGCATGGAGTCCAGAGCCTAATCTTTTGTTGTTACAGTAAACAGTTCCCCTGATAAATATCTGCCAGGGCAGGAGTGAGGTGGATCGTTACTGGCGATTTACACTTGCGGTCTCCCACTTTGCAACCAAAGTATTTATCTCCTCAATTAAGGTAATGGGTCTTTTACACAGAAGAAAGCTATAAGCCTCTCCAGTAAGGAACTGTGTACATGGGGCAATTGACTGGCACAGCTTTACCGTAACAGCAAAGCAAACTTTATTCTGGGATAGAGCGTTCACACAGGGAGTCAGTTGGTCATAGCTATAGCAGAATAGCTTCTTCCACGATAGTTGATCAGTTTGTGTGGACAAGCCCTGTGCCTTGCTGGGAGAAGATCAACAGAAATAGGAGTCAGAGGGAAGGGAGTGTTTGAAGTACAGCACCAAGAACACCGAGCTTTTGAAGAAGGGGCCAACATTCACTCCAGCCACCCGCATTACCACATGTCCATTTCCTCCACCACTACTCTCTCTGCTTTCTCTCTACTATGTCCCACTCTGCATGGTTGGGGAGTCACTCAAGTGGTTGAGTATTGCCCAGTCTCACCCTGAGAATTACTTTTGTGATCTTTCAGTCTCATCTTAAAATGTTCCTTTCCTCTTTGGGTTCTACTTGACTCATTCTCAAGTGCTCTGCGATACAGTGGCTAGAGAATGCTGAGTTGCATCAGCAGAGTGGCCAGGATCTGAGAACTAACAGGCAATACAAACACTAATGTTTAAATGAGGTCATAGGAAAGAAAGCCACACTGAGAGTTAAAGCTGAGGCTCACCCTGTTGTGCCTAAGCATGGCAAAACCTCAGCTCAGCTCAAACCTTTTCCTGGCACAACAAGCTAAACACGCGTTGCCAAAGCGTATAAAAGACGGGCCCCTTGGGTGTACATCAGTGGTGGCTGTAGTACAGTGTGCATCATCACCTCAGCTCATAGCAACCCCAGGCACGACAGGCCAAGTCACTGACAGTGTAACCTTGGCAAGAGTTCACACTGAAGTTGCCGAGAGACCCCTCTCATCCACACCGAGCTGAGTGTTTTTAGAAGCAGCATTTCAGCATGCACTAGCTGTGCCTGAAATCCTCTGACCTATACTGAGCAAGCTCCCAGCAGATTCCTCTTCTCATGACACTGCAGCCTGGAGGTGTTACCTTTGTTGTTTGAAGGCAACACATTACATAAAGCTGCTGTTGCGTCTTTGGTCAGGTTCCCATCATGAATTCCATGTGTTCTCTCCTTCTGCCCATCCAGCTCCTGCAGTATTCTCATGACAGCTCAGCTCTCATTTGATGCCACTGGCTTGGAGATGGCTCAGAGAGTAAATCATCTGTCCTGCAGGGTGCCAGCAGTCACCTTCCCCCAGGGCTTTCTGGCTTTGAGGAGGGAAGCAATGGCTTTTGGGTGCTTTGGGAGTGGTCAGCTGTCAACTGCCCCACTCAAGAAATTTCAGCTCAAATGGACATTTTAAAGGAGCAACCACCAGTTTATAAAATACAGTGGCTAGCTATGGAAGGGGAATGCATTTACTTTCAAGGACTGGTGTTTAGTTTTAGTATAACTGGTTGAGGTTAAAGTGAACTTCTGTAATGATGAGCAGCAGGTAAACCCCCCAGGCAAGACATTTTCTAGAAAATGAAACACAGTTGATGTAACTTTAAGGAAAAATCGGTTCCTTCCATTGGTATCGTATCTTCTGCCCTCTAGTCCACTGCATGGCAGGAGAAACCAGCAGGAAGAACAGAGCTCTGAAGTTAACTTGTGCTGCCATATTCCTTGTAACCAGGCTTGTTGTTCAGCTACAGTATTTGTACATCTTTGAATTGTGAATGTGGAATCTTAACTGGGTATTTGAAGAGTCTGAAAATGAAGACAGGGCTCTAGTTTCTCTCTGTGGGTAGGTCTACACAACAACTAGACACCTGTGGCTGGCCTGTGGCAGCCGACTCAGGCTTGTGGGTCTCAGGCTGTGGAGCTGATTCATCACTGGGCAGCTAAGTTCCCTCTAAACTGTGCAGCCACACAGTAGCCTATTAAGAGCCACACAGGCGCTCAGGGTTGCTGCGGGAAAAGATTCCTCTCCCCCAGCCCTGGACCCAAACCAGCCCCAGCACGCCCTGCTGCAGCCCCTGGCCCAGACCTGGACCTGCTGTGACCGTGAGAGAGGCACCCCTCCCCTGACCCCAACCCAGCCCTGGACCTGCCATGGTCGGGGGAGAGGCGCCCCTCCCCCAGCCCCAGCCTGGACCTGCTGTGGCTGGGGTAGAGGCATCTATCCCGCAGCCCCAGCCCTGGAGCTGCTGCGGGGAGAGGGAGCTGGGGAGAGTTCCCTCTCCCCGCTGCAGCCTGCACCTGAAACCCCTCATCCCCGGCCCCACCCCAGAGCCTGCATCCTCAGCCCGAGCCCTCACCCCACCCACCCCTGGCACCCCAGCCCTCTGCCCCAGCCCTGAGCTCCCTCCCACACTCTGAAGCCCTTGGCCCCACCCCCGCCCCGCCACATGAATTTTGTTGTGTGCACCAATATGGAGGTGATATATGGAGGTGATGTATGACACATCACTTCCATATTGGTGCACATAACAAAATTAATTCTGCACCTGGATGGGAAAAATTAGATGGAACACGGCTGTGCAGACTTCTGGGTTCAGGCTGGAGCCAGAGCTGTTGGACCCTGTGACGTGGCAGGGCTCCAGAGCTCAGACTCCAAGTCCACACAGCAATGAAACAGCCCTGCAGCCCGAGCCCCATAAGCCCAAGTCGGCTGGCACGGGCCAGCTGCAGGTATCTAGTTGCTGTGTAGACACACTCCTAGAGCTAACTGAGTACTATTGCAGAAAATCAGCTTACCAGTGAAAGGGCAGAAATCAGGTTTCCACTCCTCAAAGAACATTTCAGTATCACAGCGATGTTGGACTAGATGGTCATAATGGTCCCTTCTATACTTAAAAATCTATTAATCTATGGCTATTGCTACAGATCCTGCCGCAACACCTCCAGTCAGGAGTAGACAATCAAGACAAGGGGCTCTAGTGAAGGAATCAAAAGTAAATACTGGTGGAAAAGAACATTAAGTGACAGGAGAACAAAAACAAGAGCACGAAATAACAATTGCATCTCCTGAGAACTGTGGAAATTGATTCTGTTTAGAGCCCAGATGTGATTGCTCTTTAAATAGCTGCATCTGGATCTGAAACCTATTTTTAAACAAACAAACCAACCAACCTCCAAAGGGCATGCTCTGGATTTCTCCCAAATCCGTACATGCTTCACAAAATGCAATTATCTCCAGTTTCACTGGCTGGATTATGAAGGTGCCAGAGATGTTTTGGGGTGAAGAGGGCAGGTTTGTGTTGGCATGACATACCATTTTCCCCCATAGGCTATAATCCACATGGGAGTGAAACAGCTAAGTGAACTTGATAAGATCTTTCAAATGTTCAGACATTTTGAAGATCTTGTCTATTTCATTTTGTTGCACATACCAAGTGGAAGATAGCCCAGTGGCGTGGGGAAGGACAGAGAAGAGCTGTGCTGATGGAGGGGAGGCAAAAAGGAGCCTCTTATATTCTTTGTGCATTTACTGTGATTTACCTGCAAGGGGAAGGTCTGGAAGGTCTGTGAGTTTGTCGACTCCTTTGCTGAGCAGGTTTGCATTACTGTAAGCAGTATGCCTCTGTGAAACAAGCAAGCATAGACAAATTCATCAGGAAATGTTACCGTTAGATAAATGGCCAATCAAGGAGAGGAAGAGGCCTCACTCACTCACTGTTGAAACAGAGTACGAGAATGAGAGGTATTCTGCTCTATTCAGCATTTTATACCATGCTCCTCACTGTAGTACCTGAGCACCTTCCAGCAGTGGATTAAGCAATGTGACTAACATCTGTCATGAGTTCTTTGTTCTCTCATCCTCTCCCCAGGAGGAGAAATGTGCCGTGGAGTGTCTTGTTTTGGCAGGGTGTGTCTTATTTTTTATTTAATATAAATATACCTGTTGCCATGTGTTTATATTAGAGAAGACAAGGTCAAAGAAATGTGCCTTGCACTTGGAGTCAAAGTGGTAAGGTCTGGGATGGACCTTGGTTCCTGTGGGAGCTCATTCCACAATCTCAGACTGCCCTGGGAGAAAGTTCTGTCTCCTGGATGATGAGGTGTCTGGAGGATACCTACTTCTACCTGAGCTTGGTGGGTGGTCCTTCAATCATCTGGCCATTCAAAATTAAAGTAAAGTAGAGGATCCAGGGAAATTACTTTTCAGTTAGTGATATATTTGGCTTCCAAACATTTGCAGCCTCTGTGGGTGTGGCTACAAAGCACTTTGGAGCCCACACCCAAGCGAGTCAGGGTCGACAGATTCAGGCTAGCAGGGCTCGCAGTAGCGCTCTAAAAATAGCTGCAGAGATAGTGGTTTGAAGTTGCAGCTCGGGCTCTGAAGCACCCCTCCCTCTCCCTAGGCTTCAGAGGGACCACTGCCTTCACACCACTGTCTCTGCAGCTATTTTTAGAGCACTACCGCGAGTCCTGCTAGCCTGAATCGGTTGACCCTGGCTGGGAGGCTTGCTCTCACAGGCTCCAAAATGCTGTGTCGACAGACCCTTCTTTTCAAAGATTTTTCTTTTGGTAATCAAGTGTCAGAGATAATTTGGTGCTGCAGACCCAAAGTGACAGCATCTGCTGCTCCCAGCCCCTCCTCCTTCACCTCCAACTTGATGAACCAGACACAAAAGGCCTGCTGCCAGCTTTCAGAACTGCCCACTTAGCTTGGCATTGATAGAAGCTGCCAGAACACCTGTTTAATTCCACTCTTAATTTCCTTTCTTGACTCTGCAAAGGAAACACATTCTCATGCTCACTAAGTACTTTTTCAGGCTTCAGCCAGGCTTCCGATCACAGCTCCAACAGCTCCAATGCTGACAGCCATCCAGACAAGCCTTCTCCTGCCCTCTTTGCTAGGAAGTGGGCCAGGGATTTAGACCCCAATTCCAGAAAGTGCCAAGAACATTCAAATTCCAGTTTAGTCACTGGGAATTGAGGGTGCTCAGCATCTTTCAGCAATGGGCCTTTAGAACTGCCTGCTTTCAGGGTTGGTTTCTAGGGGCACTTAGGCATTTACCATCCTGCATCTTAGCTGCCCTTCTCTCACTTTGTTGCTGTCCTTATTCATAGTAAGACAAAAACTTTAATAGACTTTAGAATCTGAAGGAATGGTCAAATCCTGAAGTCCTTACTCAGTCTTTTAACAGACGCTACAGGTGCTCAGCACCTCTCAGCTCTGGCATGGACAGTTTAGTTCGGACCTTTTCTCACAGATCAAAGACACTGCCACCCTCTGAAAACTTCACTCGTCTAATGGAAGTAGCCAAGATATGTATCGAGATTCAGGGAATTGAAGGGTTGTTGCAGTTCAGAGTCCAGTGAAACTGAGAAACAAAAGACATCTAAAAGACAGCTCAAGAAAAGGAGGACTCTAACTCACCATATGACCCAACTATAGTATCTATCTGGTACACATCTGTCCAGTATGTGTAAATAAGTCAGCTCCCTCAGTGGAATCATTGGGAGTTCTCAGAGCTTCTTCATGATGAGTTTAGATTCTCACATCCTTGCTGCTCTCTCTTCTTAGCCCACACAAATACAAAATACAGGCTGAATAACATCTGTTGTTATGCAAAGGTTATCAAACCTCATGCTTCCTGGTGCAAGAAAATCAGTACGGGGTCAGGAAGGAATTCCCATTTTTCTTCCACATGCACAACATTATATAATTGGCCAGACACATAATGGGGAGTGGGTTTCACCTTTCTCCGAAGCATCAGGCATAGGTCTCCTGCTAGAGGTTGGATATTGAAAGAGACGGACCTATTTGATGTTGCAGAGCTTACATTCCTGAGTTTCTAGACACATGAATCTCAAGCTAAGACCAACAGAAAGAGAGAGACAGAGACCAATAGACAGACAGAGAGAGGGAAGGGGAGAGGGATTACTTGTATAAATTTAGCCCCCTTTTTTTTTTTACTAGGTCATGATTCCCAGTAAACATATCCCTGCTGGGTCAACCTAGAAGACCATCTCAGTTTCTTTCTGTTTTTTTACATAATCACCAGCAGGGCCGGATGACATAAAATAAACTCCAATTTCCTGAGAAATGGCTGCAGGCAGAAAGGAGGGAAGAGGATCTTTGTCACCAGAGAAACCGTCTTTTATATCAGTTAGTCAAAGCACTCCAGTATGTGAGACATAGGCCTTGATTTCTTTTGGCTGTGTTTGCAGGAGACCTGCCAGTATTCAAGCCTGGTGCCTAATTTAACCTTGCGTAGTCTGTGTAGACAACAAACACCAAATACCACAGTCATCGTCCTTTAGGGTATGGAAAATAACCTACTCCGTATGGGAAGGCAAGAGAGTGGTGTGACATTATTGACATAAACTGTGACCATATAGATCACTGTTGCAACCACTGTTATGTATTTGCAGCAAATATTGTACAAAGGTGCCGTGTGAGGTGTCTATAAAGAGGTTATGATGATGCTATCTGTATGTATGTACCATTTTTGTAGTTGAAGTTATGAATATTGGCTATGTACTGGTATCTCAATGTGTTTTGATTCTAAGTAGCCTCAGTGAAGCATTTGGTCAGCTTCTTGCCCAATCAAGAAACACTTAACTGACAATGAACTTTGGGAGACCCCAATCCACTTCTGAGCTTTCCTGGGAATTTTCAAACCAACATGTAAACAATGACATCAGCCTGTACAGAACTGAGTCATGCATGGACATGTGACTTGCCCATGTGACTCTAAACTCCATCTTGCTGTGTGATTTTCCACAGTCAGAACAAAGGGGTGTCCTTCCATAGGGAGAGAATATAAAAGGCCATGGAAACTCCTCCATTTTGTCTTCAGTCCTGCTTCTGACCTCTGGAGAAACCTTGCTACAAACTGAAGCTCTGAACAAAGGATTGAATGACCCATACCAGCTGTGGATGTACTCCAAAGACTTCATTTGAACCTGCCGTTTATTCCATCACTGCTACAAGCCTGAACCAAGAACTTTGCCATTACTGTATATAATTGATTCCATTTAACTAATTTTTGCTCTCATATATATTTTCTTTCCTTTTATGAGTAAACCTTTATATTTTAGATTCTAAAGGATTGGCAACAGTGGGTAAGTTCTGATTTATATAATGACCTGGGTCTGGGGCTTGGTCCTTTGGGATCGGGAGAACCTTTTTTTCTTTTACTGGGGTATTGGTTTTCATAATCATTCGTCCCCATAATGAATGGCACTGGTGGTGATACTGGGAAACTGGAGTGTCTAAGGGAATTGCTTGTATGACTTATGGTTAGCCAGTGGGGTAAAACCAAAGTCCTCTCTGTCTGGCTGGTTTGGTTTGCCTTAGAAGTGGAGAAACCCCAGCCTTGGGCTGTAACTGCCCTGCTCTAAGCAATTTGTCCTGAATTGATACTCTCAGAAGTGTCCTGCCAGAGGCAGCATCATTACAAGTAGGTACACAATACCAGGCCTTATCCAATTCTCAGGGGCACATTCCATCTCTTCTTGGGCTGAGCAAAGCTGATGGACTTCAATTGGTTGGTAAAGGTGGGGCTAATAGGCTTGAGGTGGATAATTATTTTATACTTGTTCTGCAGTCACACCTCAGTAAAGAGCCAGTTCTTAAAGTCATCTCTACAAGCACCCACTAGAGGTCTCTAAATGCTTTACATGCTCCCAGGAGAGCTTTCAGGAATATTTCTGTGCCTAGAACAATGACTGGCCAAAGAGGTCCAAAAAGGCAAATGATGCAAGTGCACAGATAGCATATAGTGATAGAGGCTAGTGATAATATGGTAGGCATGCTACCACCAAAATCAGTGAAATGCCACTGTGTCTGCTTTCCCACCATTCCCAGAGGCAGTATTTCTGGTAATGTTACATCACAGCACTGAAAGTTACCAACAGAATGTTAACTGGCTGATGCAGTGACATCAGACGCATCACATTCCAGAAGAGTTGCATTCTGGGAGAAAATCAAAACATAGCAACCATCATCAGCCCTCAATAGCCACAGGCTGATTTGATATCTTGGGGCATACTTCCTCAGGAACATTTACCATCTCTCTTCTCACTACCCTTCCCTAACACACATGCTAAATACCTTGCTGAGTTTGAGGTTCATCTTAACTCACTTTAAATGATCAAAACCTACTTTCCTGGTCAATGCTGATTAAAGTTCTGAAGTGGATTCCAAAGAGTTCACACCCACCCACTGGGACGTTCAGCCAGGAGATAAAACGGGAGCTCACTTTGATCTCTGTACCCTGTTAGAACTCCAGCATTTGATCTTCCACAGAAAATAAGCACATGTATTTCCCCTTTCCCTGGCTACAGCCACATGCATGGTGATGTGCTGAAGCCACGTCATGGTGTAGGAAGCCATGCAACCACCCAGCCCAATTCCAGTACCTGCATGGGGGAGACGGCGGCTGCTGGGGCTGTCCTCACCGGAATTCCACTCAGAGGGCTCCTTGGGACCTTGTGAACCGTGATACTCTGCCCAGTGCTCCCTGCAAGGAGGGAAGGAAACATTTATATTTTAGACCAGTCTGAAAGAAGAGGTCATGATGTTCTTTTCCCGATCCTCTCCCACCACTCATGTCTGAACAAGGACCTGATGGCATTCAATCCATTTCTATGTACTTTAGCATCAGTTGGAGAAAACCTTAGAAAAGAGATAACTCGGGGAAGGGAGTATGATAGACGTCTACAAAAATCATGATTGGTGTGGGGAGAGTGAATAGGGAATTGCTATTTCTCTATTCACATAACACAAGAACCAAGTCACCCAATTAAATTAATAGGCAGCTGGTTTAAAGCAAACGTAAGAAAGTACTACTTCACACAATGCACAGTCAACCAGGGGATGTTGTGAAGGCCAAAAGTGTAACTGCGTTAAAAAAAGAATTAGATAAGTTCATGGAGGATGGTCCATCAATGGCTATAAGACAAAATGGTCAAGGGCGCTACCGCATGTGCCGGGTGTCCTTAAAACTCCAACTGCCAGAAACTGGGACTGGACAACAGGGGATGAATCACTCAAAATTATCCTGTTCTGTTCATTCCCTCTGAAGCAGCTGGCACTGTTGGAAGACAGGATACTGGGCTAGATGGACCATTAGTCTGACCCAGTCTGGCAGTTCTTATGTTCTGTAGCACTGCTAAAACCAATATCCACTGGGATGCAAGATGAGGCAGCGGATGTCACAAGAATTAGCTGCTTGCCAGCTGAAGTTTAACTATTTGAAATTTTAATGAAAAAAAGAAAACTACTCCTATCCCAGAGTGCAGGACAGGAGTACCTGAGCATCCCAAGTCAAATGACTTGATGAGTGACTTGACAGTAGCTGCAGACTCTGAGGGAGTGGGTGATGCCCTGCTGACATAGACTCCTTGCCAGCGGTTGGTGGTATCTGCTTCTACAGAATTCACCTCCTCAGTTGTCAGCCTGAACAGTAGAAACCAGAACAAAGTCAGAGGCAACAGGAAGCACAAGAAAATATTCACTCTACAGAAAGCAACTTCTGAAGGCACAAGTCCCGTCTCCTGTAAGGCCCCCATCATGTACTCTCCCATTACAATAATGCTTAGGCTCTTTTCTTCTTCAAAGCACACAGCAATAAGCCTCACAACCCACCCTAGGAGGTCAAGAAATATCATCCCCATTCACAGGTAAGGAATCCAAGGTACAGAGAAGTTGTGACTTGCCCTGGGTCACAGTAAGTCAGTGACAAAGTTGGAATTTCCGGACATTCAGTCCTGTGTTGAAAGCTCTATACTCATGACTACCTTTCTCGAGTCCTCATATCCTCACCTATAGATGATAATTTTGGGTCCTTCCCATATGGAAAGGATATCAGGCTGTTGTGGCCTAGCAACTGCCTAGCAACCTCCATGTCTGGTGGGCTTCATAGGCCTTAAAGACCCAGGACTGAACTCCCCCTGCCCCCTTCTGAAAAACCTTCAACAAATATGTCCTTTTCTGTCTTGTTCACCCCCACGATCCCAACGTACATCCAAAGATACCATTCCCCGAAATGTTGCCAATTAACTAGTCCTCTTTCAAACTAGCAACATAATGGAGTGGCTGATATGGAACTCGATTAATAAAGAATTAAAGGAGTGTAATATAATTAATGGCAATCAACATGCATTATGGGAAATAGATGTCTTTTTTGATGAGATTATAAGTTTGGTTCATAAAGGTAAAAGTGTTGATGTAATACTACACATACTTCTGTAAGGCATGTGACTTTGTACCAGACAATATTTTAATTAAGAAACCAGAATAAAACAAAATCACCATTAAATGTATTAAAACCTGGCTGATATGTCTCAAAAATGTAATTGTAAATTGGGAATCATCCTCAAGTAGGTATGTTTCTAGAGAGGTCCCGTGCGGATCAGTTCTTGGCCCTATACTATTTGACACTTTTACGAATGACCTCACAGAAAACAAAATCATTACTGACAAAGCTTGCAGATGACACAAAGACAGAGAGAATGGTCAATAATGAAGAGGACAGGTCAGAGATATAGAGCAATCTGGATCACTTGGTAAGCTGGTACTTACAGGATGGGGGAACTGTATCCTGAAAAGCAGTGACTCTGAGAAAGACTTGGCAATCATGGTCAATAATCAGCTGAACATGAGCTACCAGTGCAATGCTGTGGCTAAAAGGAAAAATGTGATCCGTGGAAATATAAACAGGGGAATATTAAGTAGGAGTTAAGAGGTTATTTTACCTCTGTGTTTGCCACTGGTGTGACTGCTACTGGAAAATTGTGTTCCGTTCTAGTGTCCACAATTCAAAAGGATGTTGATAAACTGGAGAGGGTTCAGAGAATAGCCAAGAGAATGATTAAAGTGCCTTATAGTGAGACACTCAAGGAACTCAATCTACTTATCTTATCAAAGAGAAGGTTACAGGTTGATTTGTTCATCTACATGGGGTACAGAAATATGACAATAGAAGGCTCTTCAGTCTAGCAGACACAGTTATAACAATGGTATAACAATCCAATGGTTGGAAGTTAAAGCTAGACAGACTAGAAAGACATAATTTTTCCTTTTTTTGTTTTTTAAACAGTGGGGGTAACTGCCTATTGGAACAACCTATCAATGGCTGTGATAGAGTCTCTATCACTGTAGATTTTAAACCAAGACTGGATGTTTTTCTAAAAGATACGCTTCAGTTCAACCACAACTATTGGACTTGAAACAGAAATTAATCCAAGGAAGTCCTATGGTTTGTGTTATGCAGGAGGCCAAACTAGATGATAAAAATAGCCTCTTCTGGTTTTATAATCTATTCATCTAATTGGGGGTTGCCCAGGAGCTGACTATACATTCTTGGCAGCCCCACCCCCCAGACCAGCTTTGACCTCAGACAACTAACTTATATTTTAGCAAAGCTGGCTGAGAGGGTTGAGGCCAGTTATTTACAAACAGAGTCTCTATTATATTGTTTTCATGATTTACTAGCTGTTGAATCTAAGCAGACTGATCTGCAGGTCCCAGGGCACCACTGCTTCCCCCATTGAAGAAATGGGCTGGCAATAGAGAGCTATGCAAACAAGAAAAGAGCTATGAATTCAGCACAAGAATGGAGCCAGAACTCCCTGGAGAAAGTGCCTACAGGGCTGCACGATTCCTGCTGGGCTAAAAATAGGGGTCAATCTTTTTATTTTATTTTCCTTTTGGCATCAGAGTTGTTTCTACAAAATGCAAGGGAGTTAGGGGGTGTCAATGAATGACACCAAAAAGAATGATTCATGCTTCTATTTCTGGCCATGCTCAAGGAGGTGCTGTCTGTAAGCAGACACTGGCTACTTCTTTGCTAATTCATTCAGGCTTCCTGCGAGCCAGGAGGAGCCTGCGGAGGCAGATGGCTTGAGAAAAGCCATTTCATTCCATTTTCCAACTAATCCAAGGAGGAGGAAAGGAAAAGCTGGATGAGATTCACTGAGCTCTGAGGGATCCAGTGTTTTGATGATTAGCCCTAAATGCTCTCCCACCCCCAGGCTCCTCATGGCTTCATTAAACACCACCAACAAGTCAACAGCAGCATCTGGACTTCATTTGTAAGAAAACACAAAGGCTAAAAGGAGTCCTGCAGCTAATGAAACATGGGGGAAAGCATGGACTTCCGCTGAAGGATGCCTAGTAGGAATGGGTCAACCAACCATTTCAATACATTTCTCTGTAAGGAAATAATGAACGAGACCATTATGCAGTGCCTGCATGATCTCCAAGGTAGAAAGAGAATGTAAGGTTTGTGCAGTTTGTGTACACAGCTCTGGGCAAGTTAATAAAGCTTGAGGGTAAAGCCAAGCCAAGGGTATGGCTCAGTGAGCCAAAGCCCCATCTGAGCTATGGGAGCTCGCTGTAGATTCTACCCAGAGGAAAAAGGAAACATATGAAGTGATGAACACATGTTAAGGGGTGAGGGCCATCAGCAGGAGAGCCCTAGTGGCTTGCCTAAGCCTTATCTCATGGATCGGGATGCAAGTCAGAGCAGGGCTAAAGTTCTCATTCACTAGCTCACCTCAGGGGATCTTCTGGTTGCATAAACATTTCCAGAATGAGATTAAATATGAAATACATTATCCCAAGGCTCAAATCCCAGGAAGTTTGCTGAGACATCACACCTCAGATACACTATCATTTCAACTGGGTAAATGCTGAGACACTAATATCTAAGCTGCCACCTGGCCTGATTTTGTTTGAACACTTTCTGTGATCTTAGCCTCTAAACATGCCCTGAAATAAGTTTCTGGGATGACTAAATATCACCATGCTGTGATGGTGAGGTCTCCCCAGCTGGAAATCTCACCATGGTGATATTTTCGTACTTGGGACTGACTTTCTCTAACCACGTCACCCAGGCCATCCTGGTTTGACTTGCTCACTGCTTTTCAGTTTTGAAAACAAAATTAATAAAGGAGGGGGGAGAGAAAGAGAGAGACAGGCTCCTATAATCTCTTATTCAGTATGGAGAGGTCATTTCCTCCCTCTGATTAGTTTATGACGTCAGCGTCAATCCCTCACTTGTTACATTTTCAAAAAGCACCTTTGTGCTTTCTCCCACACTCCCCTCCTGCTTGGAAAGAGCTCTGTATAAACACCCACAAAGACACTTCATTGCCCTTCTTCAGATCCCTCCTCAAAACTCCCGTTTCCAGGGATGTCTACAATTATTAGGCTGTTGGTGTGCAGAGACCATTGCCTAGCATGCTGACCAATACTGTCTCATTGTTTCCTTGTACTCCCCCATCCGCCTGTATCCATCTTGTCTTACACTTTGACTGTAGCATCTTTGGGGCAGGGATTGTGTTTTTGTTCAGTGTTTGTGCAGGGCCTAGCACAATGGGGTCCTGATCCATGTCTGGGACTGCTAGGCGAAACAGTAATATAAATAATAATACTCCAAACCGTTGTTGGCAAACAGAAATCACAGACTTTTCAAGTCTTTAAGTTTAAGGAGGTAGAAGTGCAACTCACAAGAGCAAACGAATTCAGAAAGATGGCATGAGAACATGACCCAGCATGATTAATGCCAAGCCATAGCTTAAGAGCCAAACAACAACCCCCAGAGCACATTAATTTACAAAAGACTGGTTGGATAGTCTGAGCCATATTAACTAAGCTCTTGCACAGAGAGGAGGAAATTTAAACAAAATGCAACCTACTGCTATTGCATTGCTTGAAAACATGGGATGAAATGTTATACACAGTTATCACCGCTGGAGTGCAGCAGCTCCAGAAGGAAGCCAGAGCTATTCAGCTGTGGGGGAGTTAGAACATGAGCAGTTTTACATCACTTCACTTGATTCCCCAGGAGGGTGAGATAGTTGAAGCATTAGAGGAAAGCTCACTGGCAGCAGCTGATCACTGTGTTTGTTCTTCAGGTCTGGATTACACGAATAACAGCGAGTCAGAAAGGTGCCAACCTTGCTGTGGCTAGTGTGTTGATTATGGGACTAGGCAGGCTACATACGTTTGGGGAAAGCACCAGCAATAATGCGGGACTGTGTTGTTTGTACATTTCTGAACCCCGCGGTTCCTTCTTTTTGAAAAAGACTGAGCAGCTCTGTTGGGGGTAACTATTCTGTTGCCTGAGAGATCTCAGGGTTTCCGTGGCTGCAGTTCCTGGCATTGTGGTTACAAAGTGACTCGTGACTCTTCCTCAGTTGCAAGGGAGACAAAGAAGAAGCACACACAGCTGCTGATACGCAGAACAGAAAAGAGGCCAGGAGCAGGCAGCAGACACTTCTGGACAATTACACATTTATTTTGCACTTCCATGTATTTTTTTAAACATATAAAAAAACATTGAACAATCGCCAGCACAGATAATAAAGAGAGGCAACACAAGTGTGCGTACAGTTATGTAACATGACACAGTGGCATGGAACATGGCACAGTGGCATGGGTCATGCCAAAGT